AAAATTAGAAGTTAAGAAAAACAAATTTACCTACTCACAATGCTTTGTGAGTGGTGATGGAAATTCACATTTAACACAGAATAAATATAAGAGAAAAAAAAAATGTATAAAAAAAATTAAAGCCTTATAACATAATATATATTTAGGCAGGGTCTGATTGGATTGTGAAGAGAAATTGGAATAAGAGGGTTTTAAATATGGATAAGGATGATGTATGGCGGATTTTTAGTGGGATAGAATTCCAGAATGCAGTAGAACGGACAACAAAGGAATGTTTAAATGAGGCAGATCTGTGGAAAGGCGTGTAAAGGTCAGAAGGACGAGATCTTGTGGAGAGGGTATGGATAGATGATTTGAATTGTAGGAGATTGTATGCCTAAGAGAGACGATGATTATTGATTATTTGGTAAAGGAATGTGCCTAGGAAATATTGTATTCGGAAGGAGGGGAAGAGCCATCCTAATTTAGCATAGTGGTGCAAAACACGAGAATGCCTCAGGGTCCCAGTGACAAATCCTATAAAGGCGTTTATAATTCTTTTCAGTTTCTCCCCGAGTTCTGCCAAGAGACCACCGTACACCACATAGCCGTAATCAAGGTGAGGAAAGAATACTGGGAGTCTACGTGTGGGAGTGGGTAGATGGCGGAAGCGATGGAATAGTTTCAAGGTACCAATTGACCGTCCGGAGATGTGAGCAATGTGGTGTTTCCAGGAGAGGGTTTGGTCTATGAAAATGCCTAGGTTTTTTACTGAGGATGTGAAGGTGATGGGATGGTCATTTAGGTACAGGATAGGAATGTTGGTATTGGCTCTGAGAAGGGGTTTGGAAAAAATTACTATGGCTTGAGTTTTTGCAGCGTTTAATCTTAGTCCATTTAAGTTTACCCAGGCACTGATCCGATTCAAGTTTCTTGAATTTCGGCAAACACATCATGCAACTCTGAGGGATAGAAGGAAAGGTAAATTTGGGAATCACTGGCATAGAGGTGATGGGAGCAGTGAAGGATTGATTTATGGATGTCGTTGATATAAGAACTAAAAAGAAGAGGAGATACGCTAGAGTCCTGGGCCACTCCTGAGGACAGAGTAAGATAGAAAGACAAAGGTTGATTAGGGATAGCGACAGCTTGTGAGTGTTGAGAGAGGAAAGACTGAAACCATAGGATAGAACAATTGGAAAAGGCTAATGATTTTAATTTGGGAAAGAGAATGGAATGGTTGATGGTATCAAAGGCTTTGGAAAAGTCAAGGAGTATGACAGTTAGGTTTTTGTCATCTATGGTGGACTGAACATCACTAATGATTTTGATTAGGGCGGATTGTGTGGAGTAACCTGGTCGGAAACCATATTGGTAAGGGTAAAGTTGATTGGACTGTTCAAGGAAGTTGGAAACTCAGGATCACATTATTCTCTCCAGGGGTTTCCAAATGTTAGAAAGGATTGAGATTAGCCGGAAATCTTAAGGGAAACACGGGTTAGAATTTTTATTCAAAGGACGGACCGTGACTTTTTTCCACAAGGAAGGGAATACTGAATTTTGAAGGGAGAAATTAAAGATGAATAGGAGTACCGGAAGGATTTAAGGGAGGCATAATTTGACGGAAATGCCATTTGGACCAATAGAATTAGAATGTGATTTCATCACGGCGGATATGAGGTCTGTGGAAGAAATATCTGAAAAGTAAAAGTTGTCGTAATTGAAAGATGTTCCAGGAGAAAAGAAGGAAGAGGTAAATGTAAGAGTTAAAGAGGAAGCTGATATAAGATAGGAATTTAAATCATCTGGTGAAACTGGAAGCACTGCAGAGGGAGGGAATCTGGAAGGTTCACAAAGGTGTAGCCATTTGGATTTTGAATAGGGAGCTGATGAAAGGGCTTCATGGAAATAGGTAGATTTGGCTCGTTGGATTGTGGTTTGTGTCAGGTTGCGGAGCTCCCTAAATGCTTGATAGTCGTCAGTCAACCTAGTACGTCTAAAGCGTCTATGGGCAGCATCATGCCTCTTCTGAAGATCCTTAATTTTCTGACACATCCAAGGAGCAGGAAGGTGACGATCAAAGATGAGGAAAAGGATATATATATATATATTGTAAAGGAGACACTCATAGTTGATCCTAAGATCAGATTTGAAACTATGTTCTAAGCTATGGTTAGGAAGTAGGGGAAGCACGTCTCTTAATACAAGTATTTCTTGCATCTGCTCCCTTGTTGGAAGGGAGCAGATGCAGACCATGACAGAAAGAATTATTTTAGACTCGTTAGAAATCCTTTATCACCACATATCTGATGTATTGCAATGGTGCGACCTAACTCTCTCTCACATTTTTTTACGGTATTATATATTGATTGATGAGTTATTTAGCAACTCAACACAATTGAGCAGCTGTACAATGCTATTGTATTTCTCTCTAGTAATTTAATTTTTATTTTATTTTATTTATAAATTTATTCTTAGATTAAATAAAATATTTAATGTATTAATGTCAATTATTTGATTCTTTGTAATTCACAGTCCACGAACCATTTAAGCCCCCAGCATCCATAAAATTTATCATTACATATAAAAGTTATAATTCAATATTTTTTTTTATTTAATTCATTATTTCATAATATCAGAATATTTGGCTAGCTTTAAACAGGGACAGAAATTTTAATCATTATTTATTTTTATAAAATAAGAACTATATATATATATATATATATATATATATATATATTTGGGGGCTGGGGTAGCTGTGTGGGCTAAGGCGCTTGCAATAGGTAACCAAGTTAAGCAACGCTGAGTGTGGTTAGCACTTGGATGGGTGGCAGTCCACCAGAGAAAGCCACGCTGCACTTCACACGAAGTGGTTTTGCTTTTTCTTTTTATATATGTAATGTTTTTGTTTATTTTTTTTCTATTACAACTATAAGTATTCTTGAGAAGGTTTTATTTTAGTTTTTAGTTGTTTCCATACTATTATTGTATATGTTGTTAGAATCTTTATTAAGTTAGTTTTTGGCCAGATATGTATTTTTTTTTTTTATTTGTTCATTATTGTTATTCTAAGGGGACTTTCCACAAGAATATAGTTTATTTTCTATTTTCTTTATTATCTATTCTTTATACAGTCAAAGCTGATGTTTATTTTATAAATATTTAAATTATTTTCACATTGTAATATTCAGATGTAAAAAATTATTATTGTTGCAAAAGTTAAAAAGTCTAAAATCTCTTTGTAAAGTTTTGTAAGGTTGGAATAGAAGTGAGTTTATTTCAATTCAGAATATTCAAATTTTGTCCGAACCTAGAGGTCAATTATCGATGTTTAAAAACAATTTTTCCCTTGAAAAAAATTGAGAAAACGGGCCATGGATCTAAATAAGTAGTAATCCATTGGTGCAAGGGCTAGACTATATGGTGGATGAGGCAGCAGTTCGAACCCATGAAGTTCTTTAAATTTTTCTTTGGTTCGATGGAAAGTGTGAGGATGAGCATTATCTTGTTGGAATAAAATTTCTTTTAGGTCGATCAAAGCAGGATAACGTTCTGACAACTTTACATACAAGCTTTCCAGTTGTTCGCAGTAGAGTTCAGAATTCATGAAACATCCATTAAGAACAAATTTGTGACGAATAACACCTTCAAAATTCCATAAAATGCAAAGCATGGATTTTTTTTCAAATTGCCCCCTTGCAGAAACCAGAAAAGCAGTTTGACCGCGATCCAGCTGTTGCTCACGGGTATTAAGATTTTGCTAGTAAACCCACTTTTCATAACAGGTGACAATCTTCAGGTAAAATCTCATATTAGAAGGGTTTTTCAACAAATTTTCACAAATTTCTAACCTCTTAACTGATTGCTGAGGAGTAAGTTTGTGAGGGACCAGTCTACTGCTCTTTTTCACCTCTCCCATGGAGAGTAGATGGGAACTAACAGTATCTTTCGACACACCACACTCCCTGGCAAGTTCGCGAGTACTTGTGGACGGATTTGACTCAACAGCTTCCTGCAGAACCTCATCAATATCCATTAATGGTCGCCCGGAGCCCTTCTTCCTTTCCAACGTCATATCTCCACTGCTAAATTTTTCAAAGCGTCCTGGTCAAGGACATCTTCCCCTTCATATTTAATCATTTCATGAGTTGCTTTAGTGGCTGTGAAATTTTTTTTCCATTAATACCTTAAAATTACAAGAATTTCGGAGGATACTCATGTTTCTTCTGTGAAACAAATAACTAAACTGAAGCTTTTTTGAAGAAGTCGAATGGGATTAAACAAGCTTAGACAATGCTCTAAAGGGATTATTAAGTATTGGTAAGTATTAAATAGGATTAAAATATTTACAGTCTTTTGAAATTGATAAAAGGGTAATTTTTTTTTTTTTTTATACACCTTATATAAAATTCAAATTTTATTTAAAACCAAATTGAATGTATTGTTTTATTTTGATTTTTATCTCTTTTATTTTAAGTAAATAATGAAATAGGATAATTTAGTTATGAAAATAAACCATAATGTTAATTTGAAAAATAAAACTGCGTATGCCCTTAAAACAAGTGTGGGAAGATGTGTGGAAGTGAAATCTTTAGACATATTAAAAAAGAAATTTCATAAAATTATTTCCTATATTAAAACAACTAATATTTAAACTGACTTGCAACACATTACAAAATTAAAAAGTTAAAACCAATGTTAACCAGATAAAAAAAAAAAAAAAAAAAAAAAAAAAAAAAATATAAGGAGAGCAATTTTCTATAACCAAATTATTGTAAAGCATTGAGTGAAAAGGAGTACTTGATGAGTTTTTAATTTTTAATTTAATCATTTATTATTTTAACTTTATCAGAATATAATTTATATATAAAAATCAAATATCAAATTAATAATGTTTATTACAGTATGATTGATTTTTTAAGGTCAAGTAAATAAAGTGATGGATTTACTCTAAAAAAAATAGTGATTAAGTTTATATTAAAACTTGATAAATAACACTGTAAACAAATAAAATAATTTACCTTGAATGGGGTCCTTTCATTACATAGTAGCCCTGTAGAAAAGAACCTTCTTCAATTGATTTCGACATAACTTTCCATGGAAGCCACAAAAGCATATGAAGTTCATGTACTGATACTGCCCAGAATGCCATGAATCTATAACTATCTTGACTTGATATCAAGCAATGAAGTTCTAACAAAAAGAAAGAGGAGCATATTTAATTACTTATGTAATAATGTTCTATAAAAGGAAAGTAATGGTAAGAAAATTAAACAAAATATAGCATCTACACTTTGTTGGTTATAGACCTATCTCAAACTATAAACTGACACGTGAATGAATGCCATTAAGATAGGTTGGCATAATTTTCCAGCAATCAGTGTTTGTATTGAATCTGAGGAAAATTAGATGACTATAGTGCAACTATAAATTGATGGCTGAATGGAGGAAAAGTGAGGGGACAGGAATAGAGTCGAAGAGTGGAGGAGTGGGGCCTTTAATTTACAGATAAAGTGTACAATTCAATGAGTGAAACCTAGGAGTTAACTATTTAGATAAACTATAGAAAAAAAATAATAAACTTCTTCTGTTCATTTTTCCTACTTTTGGTGTCTTGAAGTTTTTTATTTTTTACAATAAATTAGGCCAATTTTCACCAACATTTTATTGATACGCATTAATTTGACGTTTCGACCATACTAAGGGTCATTTTCAAAACTTGATGAGTCCTCCGTTATATGTTCATCATTAATGTTGTAATTAATATGTTCAGTGAACATTAATTTGTCATGTTATATAGGGGCTTCACTGAACATAGTAATTACAACATTAATGATGAACATATAACAGAGGACTCATCAAGTTTTGAAAATGACCCTTAGTATGGTCGAAACGTCAAATTAATGCGTATCAATAAAATGTTGGTGAAAATTGGCCTAATTTACTGTAAAACTTAAAAAAAAAATAAACTTCCTCTTTTTCTGATTTTTTTTTTTTTTAATTTACTATTGCAAATAGTCAAAATATAATATTTAAGTAATGATTTTTAGTAAAATTGTTTAATTTTATTTCAAGAATAAAAAATATTCCATTAAAAATATAATGTTTTTTATTTATATATTTGATTAATTTTTACAGTTGGAACTAAAACAAATTAAATAACAATAGTGGGAATAAAAAATAAATAATGAAACTGGAATATCAATGAAACAAACTGTATTTTTTGATCATTAGACTATAATCATTTCAGTAATTCCTATAAAAATTTATCAGAAGCTAGAGACTTTCCTGCGATCCAAGAAGTGTAAGAGAAGGGGCACATATTCAAAGCAATTACCAATAATTTATTATAGTTTTTAGGAGTAACATTATATTTAAATATGAGCTTTACAACTGGAAGTGGAACTAAGAAAATGGTTATTGATTTTACACCAGTGATCATTGAATATGTGGTTTAAGAACCTAGCAGAAATTTTATATCTATAGCAATCAAGTTATCATAGAGCTAAGGAAGTTACTATGGAAAAAAGAGAAGAGCTGATTGATAAAATTGTACTCATAGATGAATTAACTTAGGAAATGACATTTTGAAACGTCATGCGCAAAAATGAATAGAGATATTGTTAGTTATGCATGATTTGTTTTGCCTGGAATTTTTATCTTAACATTATTCTAGACTCCCTTGGGATCGTTCATCACCAGATATATGGTAATTAGGAGTTAATTTTGGATATTTATTTATTTAATTTTGATTATTTTATTTTATTTAATCATTTCTTTTTGTCTGTGTTCATAGGATTATGTTACTTGGTGTGTGTGCGTTCTAATTTTATAATTTTGGCACTCGAATATCTTTATTTTTTCTTACAATATCTCAGAGTTAGTGCTGTATATATATATATATGGAAATATACAGCATTTCCAAGTCAAATTAAATCTTTTCCAAGTCAAATTCAACTTTTGAATTTTTGTCAATTTTCAAAAAAAAAAAAAAAAGGCTACTTACTATATTATTGAAGGCATAGATTTTGAAAAAGTACAAAAAAATTTTAACGCGGTTGAATATCCATTTATTTAAACTTTTTAGATTTTTCCAGTATATTTCCATGTCATATTCAATTTTTTCCAAGTCAAATTCAACCTTTTCCGAGTCAAATTCAACTTTTTCCAAATCAAATTAAACTTTTTCCAAGTCAAATTCAACCATTTCGTTCAACCATTCAACGTTTCCGTTTCAAATTAATGTTTAGAATTTTTGTCAATTTATGATTTTTTTTTTAAATAAAGGCCATCCCCCCCCCCATGTGAAGGTATATTATTATGCTCCCTTAAGTAGAGTTTTTCAAAATTCTATCGATTTTATGTTACTTACGGATATCGATTTATTTTACTTATTCGGATTTATTAGGGTCTAGTATTATGTTGTCCTGTGCCTAGCTTTTGAAAATGAACCTCATTTTACGATTAAATCGCTGCGTTTCGACTTATTTACGTTTTTTGAACTGTATTCTTATGTTTCCGGAGCCGCAGATTTTGAAAATGACCTCAATTTTAAGACTACGCCATTGCGTTTCGACTTATTTAAGTTTTTCGTATTTATTAGCTATAAGGGTGTATTTTTATGTTTCTGGAGTCGTATATTTTGAAAATGGCTTCCGTTTTATGATTACGCAACTGCATTTCACCTTATTTAGATTTTTCGGATTTATTCCATATAAGGGCGTATTCTTATGTTTCCGGAGCCGTAGATTTTGAAAATTACCTCCATTTTATGATTACGCAACTGCGTTTCGACTTATTTAAGATTTGCAGTTTTATTTGATATAAGGGTCTATTTTTACGTTTTGGGAGACGTAGATTTTGAAAACGACCTCTATTTTAAGATTAAAGCGCTGCGTTTCAACTTATATAAGTTTTTCGGATTTATTCGATATAAGGGTGTAGTATTCCTATGTTTCCGGAGCCTACTTTTACGTTTACATCATAAAACAGAATATTGCTGTTTAAACTTGAGAAAAGTCTAAAACAGCTGTTGGTTAATACAACGACTATTCTTCATGTTAACTATCCTTTAGTTAATAATTTATTAAAAATAAAGAATACTTGGTATTCAATTTTAATTTTTACCAACTAATAGAAGAATACATAACAAAAGAAAAAAAAATATGGTATTTAAATTAAAACAAATCAAATAGAAACATCCCTACTCATTTTGTACAGCATAGTTCCAGGAGATTTCAAAGCCAAGAGGAGGAAGAAACAAATTTTTAGGCCAGAAACATGAAAACATAGCTTTCATTATAAGTAAAAAAATATATATACATTACAATTAGTACAATGACAATTTAGAAACTGAGGGCGTAATATAATAATATAGCATTATTCAAAAGTGCAGGCGTAGGGAGGTGGCGGTCCCATCGCCTGGACATTGTACCACAAACAGCCACTGGCTCCCCAGGTTGGGGAAACTGTACACTGGCGTGCACACAGTACACCACATACAGCACACTACACTCACCCCCACAATACAGACGAAGGTCAAATACACTACATACCCTATAGTCACGGAGCCCCTGGCAAAAAAGGTGTCATGTTTCATACTAAGCTTTGTCCTTATAAATTGATCATATCCACAGGTCTAATGAGAAAAATGCGCATCTGCCAGCATATAGCCGCTGGAATACAAGATGGCGGCCAACTTAAGATAGATAGAGATCCTAAATAGGTGGTAAGCGTATATATAGAGAGGGCTTATATAGATATATAAAGCTAGCAATCCTTTCAATTTATAGTATTTACAGTCTTAAGACATGTGATATGTGAAATTAAAGCTGACAAAATTTGCAATAGAAATGGTTAAATTATTTTTTTCACTATATTCTATAGTTTCCATGATATTCCTCTTCATAATTTACTAATTATGAAAAAACAAATTTTTTTCATCGCATTTTTATCATTATTTGACACACAAACTCTATAACTTTTCATAGACTGGATTTAAAGCAGTGGATCCCCAGATATGCTACTTACATATGAGATGCATATTCTACAATTTTAGCCTCATTAATAACCATGCCCCAAAGGAACCCTTCATGCGGTAAAAGATGATTTCTACACCAAACTGGAAAATTGTCTGGACCAGTTGGATCAAATTGACGAGACTTGATACTAAACTAGTCATTGGAGACTGTAATGCCCAAATCAGGAAAGCGAAGGAGTTCAAACCAGTTATTGGCAAGCACAGCATACATGATGAATCTAATGACAATGGCCCACTATTGGTCAATCTTGCTGCGTTGAAAGGTTTGGTTATATTGGAAGCACACTCTTTCTTCATAAGAAGATCCATCAGGCAACAAAATGGCGATCCAACGATGGTATTACCACAAAACTAATTGACCATGTTCATATTAGTGCTAGGCATATCTCCAGCCTAATGAACTATCATGTGTTCTGACCACTTTCTTGATGTTGTAGGAGTAAGGGCCAGAATCTCAGTAGTTAAGAGACTTCAAAGAATACAACAAAGAAAATAGTGTTTCTCCACCATCATCAATGAGAGAGTGAGGCTGCTTGGGGAGCCTGAAGATCTTAACCAACACTGCTCTGGATGCAAAAATGTGTTGGCACCTGGCTCCGACGAACTATCTGCTGAAATCTTTAAATATGGTGACGACAAGCTGACCTGATGATATGCATGCAATTATCATGAAGGTGTGGATACTTGAGGAGATCCAGATGAGTGGAAGGGTAGTGTGTTATACCCCAAACATAAAAAAGGAGATGTTCTTGATTGCCGAAATGACAGAGGTATATATTTCCTTATTTCCATGTGTATATAAAATCTTCTTGTGGATATTATACAAGAAAGTAATGTCATTTGCAGAGCGTGAGATAAGTGCATATCAAGCAGGATTTATGAGAGGGAAATCCACTACTGACCAAATATTTTCAATCAGGATCCTACTGGAAAGAACGAGGGAATAAAAGATGCAAACGCGCCACCTCATCATCTTTCAGGCTGTATATGATAGCATCTTTAGAGACAAGCTCAATGAGGGCATCCTTGATTTAAGCATTTCTTCTAAAACAGTATGACTAAGTTAGATGACCATGAAGGAAGAGAATTGCCAAGTTCGAGTACACGGAGACTTGTCCAATTGCTTCCAGACTCACATGGGACTACGGCAAGGAGACTGCCTTGCATGCCTGTTATTTAACTTGGCACTGGAAGGTGCCATCAGATGGTCACATTTTTTCAATAGAGGAGCACAGATCCTGGGATTAGCTGATGATCTGGACATCATTGGAAGGAGCCTCACTGAGGAAGAGGAAGCATTATTTAACCTCCAGAGGGGAGGGGGGCTGCTTAAGTCGGGCTGGTCATAAATGAGAAAAAAACAAAGTATATGAAGAAGGAGAGAAAAGAGCACCCCCTCCCCTCCCGTGATCAAAATAGGGGACACTATGCTTGATTGTTGATGATGAGTTTGTATACCTTGGACCGCAAGTGAACTCTGACAATGACAAAGTCAGAAATCTAAAGGTGAATTTTAGTGACAATAGAGCTACTTTGGAATGATAAAATACTTCTGCAATCGAACTCTCACAAGAACTACTAAACTCTGCCTTTATAAGTTGCTAATCAGACCAGTTCTAGTATACGGCTCTAGAAGCTGGACTATTCTACAGACCCTGGAGCAAGCTCTCCTCTGCTTTGAGAGACGAATCCTGAGAAGGATCTTTGGAGCAGTATGCATTAACAGTGAATGGAGGGAGGGCACTAACGCGGAAATCAGAGAACTTTATGGTGAAGCTGTCATAAAATTCATCAGAATTGGGTGGTTGAGATGGGCTGGGCACACCATCAGGATGGGGCCTGATGAGGTACCCAGGAAGCTTCTAGAAGAGCAGATCTATGGATCAAGAAGAGTTGGCAGACCGAAACGATGGTGTGGCAGCCCGACGCGAGAACCCTCTTAAACCTCTGCAATTGGAAAGCATCTGCACAGGACAGAGAAGAATGACCGACTAAGTTGCAGGCAGCCCTGATTCTTCAAGAGTTGTAGTGCCATCGAGGAAGAAAGAATTATTCAAAAGTGTCATTAAAAAAAAATATATATATATGATGTAATAACCAAGGTCCATAAATAGTGTTATAAAAACTTGCTAGTAGGATGCCAATTTGAAATGTTTTATTTTGAATTCTGGTTTGAAAATGGTGGCAACTTCAAGGTATTAGATAACATTTATAGTTGAGTGTGACACAAAGACTCTGTAAAAGATGTGGAACTTGGCTAAACCAGTAAGTAATTAATAAATAGAGAAATAAAATACAGCGTAAGTCCCAGAAACTATAATTTAATTACTTCCTAGTAAAATCTAACTCTGCTTATTAATATTTATTTATTTCTGTCCTCCCTTGCCCGGCAATACAAATTTTAGGTAGAAGTATTCGCTACACATTAGTAACTGAGGGAACATGTTTATTAACTGAAGGAAATCGCCCTCTCTGATGATGAAGAGATGGAAGAGCCTAGTTTCCCTCAGTAGTTTGCCCTTATTGTCTCAAAAGAGGTGCAGGTCGTTAGCAGTTTCAGTAATACCATAACAGGGTCATAGGGGATTAATTTCCTTCTCCTAGGAAGAAAGCTTGGTGCAGAACCTCCCATGACCTTTGAGGATTTGAGAGACCCAATAATTCCTCATAGGGTATGGGGAGAGGTTTCGCGCCAAGCTTCATGCTTTAAGAAAGAAAATTAAACCCCTGTTAATACATCAATATAATACATATACATATAGCAATATAATACAAAAGTTAAAATATTACCATTGTCCACCAATTGTGTTCCTTGAATTTTAAATACAAAGGGAATATGAACCTCCATCATTTTCATTTTGGGGATTTGAGAGTGGCCATAATTGACAAGGCTACTTCTCCCAAGATTCCTTCGATAATCCCATAGATCTCTAGCATTCCTAGAATATAGAAAAAGAATTGTTTCAACATTTAGGAAAGAGAAATACTTGAATCCTTAAAAATATACATAGAATTAACAAATTACTAGAAGTTCCAATAGCATTTATGATAAAAATTATGCTATTTAGCTATATTTTATTTGAAAAGAAAATATACACTAATTATTAATGTCTTCAGTGATAGTAAAGAGGATATAACTCCACAGAATGATGAAGTTTTGATTAGGATATTACATAAAGACAAAAATAGGAAGTTATAATAGAATAGTTTTAAAATTATAAAGATATTTTTATAACTTGATGAGCATCAATTCCACTGATGCTCAAAATTTAGTAAAAAAAATAAGAGTGAACAACCTAACTTCTTATTCTAATTTCACAATACCCTACAGTGATAGTAATGGGATCAGGGCCAAAATAGAGTATTTATAGTAGGAGAAGGTTTGAATGTGAATTACAAAAGTATATGCCATTTTAAGTAAAACGAACTTTATTTGTCATTTCAAAATGATCAGAGATAAAAAACAGTAGGATAACTGCAGAAGGTAGAAGCTTTGATTTTTACTTTCATTTACCTATAAATGCAATATATAGTAATTGGGTAAGTATTGCGATTGTGAAAATTTTTGAGTCTGAGTTTTCAACGGAAATACATGTTTTAAGGTCTCCTGAGTCGAAATAACCAAGTCCTGCAAAATGTTGTGTGTGTATGTTATTAGTCTAGCTCAAAAACGAAAAGTCGTATGAAAATGAAATCAGCAAACCGGAAGTGGTATTTTATATAATCAACTTAACACATTTTTACGATTCTCTCAAAAACAGCTCTAAAGATATTGATTAAACTCAGCATATCAGGGTATTATTTAGCAGTTTTTAATATAATGTAGGTTTTATTCTCCTTGATGTTCTCTATCAGGGCTTAAATGGCTTATTCTCAATATTGGCTTTCCCTAAAGTACCTTATTTTTTAAAAAATAATTAACCATTTCACATTAACCTTTGACATAAAAAATAGTTAAATATCAAGTATGAAAGAATTTCATAATTAACTAAAGGAGAAATAAAGGTAATAAAGAAGGAGAAAAGGATTGTAACGGATAATAGTTGTAATAGTGGAATCAAAGGAATACGAGCTTGCTCGAAAGATTATAACAGGCTTCCATACGTAACAATAATTTTCACTTTCACTTTCCCTTAGTCTGAAAATACTTATTTCTGATAAGAACGTGGTAAGTGAAAGTCGTGTGATGCGTTCACCAGATTTGTCAACTTGCATATATGGGTGCTGTAAGAATAGTTATCTCTATAGTAGGCAAAAGAGCAGGTAGAAGGCCAAAAAGTGGATGGATAGATTGAATCAACAAAGATACAATAGAGCTCCATGCAGATAACTGGAAAGAAATGGCCCAAGATAGGCGGATATGGAGTAGGTTTATTAAGGCAGCAAAAGATCTACAAGGCCTGTATTGCCCACAGAAAAAAAACACACGCGTATATATAGCATTTCCAAGTCAATTTCAACCTTTTCCAAGTCAAATTCAACCTTTTCCAAATCAAATTAAACTTATTCCAAGTCAAATTCAACCTTTTCCATTTCAAATTCAACCTTTTCCATTTCAAATTCAACCTTTTTTTATTTATTTAATTATCTTTACTTTTTCGATGTGTGGGTCTGTTATCGTATGAGTAGTTTTTGAAAATAACCTCCTTTTTAAGATTAAGTGACTGCGTTTCGAATAATTTAAGTTTTTTTGAATTATTCGATATAAGGGTGCATTTTTATGTTTCCCGATCAGTAAATTTTGAAAATGACATCCATTTTATGTTTACGCCACTGTTTTGACTTATTTAAATTTTTAGAATTTATCCAATATAAAGGTCTACTTTTATGTTTCTGGAGCCGTAGATTTTGAAAACGACCTCCATTTTAAGATTAGGCCACCGCGTTTCGACTTATTTGAGTTTTTCGGATATTTTTCATATGAGGGTGTATTTTTATGTTTCCGGAGCTGTAGATTTTGAAAACGACCTCCATTTTAAGATTAGGCCACCGCGTTTCGACCTATTTTTCAGTTTTTCGGATATTTTTCATATGAGGGTGTATTTTTATGTTTCCGGAGCAAGAGAGTCCGGTGTCAGCGGACAGGTAAGAGAAGTTGGGTCCCTCTGTCGTAAATGCGACAGAGAGCCAGAAACACCAGCACATGTGCTTGGAAAATGCCCCAACAACTCCCTCCTTATAACACGCCGTCACCACAGAGTCAAGCATGAACTGATGAGGCTCCTTGAAGAGAGAGAATACGCCTGTTTCGAGGAAGTATATTGTATAGATACGGATGGATCCACCCGATATGCCGACATTGTAGCATTCCCTAAGACGGGAAAGTCGGCGATGATTTTGGATCCGACCGTGAGATATGAGACCAACGACCTCGATCAGGCAGAAAAAGTGGAAAGGGAGAAAAAACAGACATATGAGAAATGCATCCCTTTCCTTAGTGAAAAGTTCCGCGAGAGTTTCGGGCCGAGAGAGTTCCACGTGAGAGGCCTTTGGTTCGGAGCTCGCGGAACGATACCAGACTCAACAAGGAGCTTCATGGAGGGCCTTGGTGTCGACATAAAGGACGTGGCAAGGTTGGCAGAGAGTATAATCCTCGACTCCCTGGGAATCATCCACCACCATGTGCATGGGAGCGGATAGGGGGAGAGTTTGCTCGCGGGGGGAGGCATGCGTGTGTTACAGCATTTTTATATTATTATTTATTGAACACGTCCACTGTACTTAATGTATTTTTTATGTATTAGGTTAGAAATAGAGAGGAGAGAATGTGAGGAGTGGGAACATGTATAGGGGGAGAGAAGGAAGAGAAAGGGTACAGAATGATAATAAATGAATGAAAGTAATAGTAAAAATTATAAAATAAAAAAAAAGGAGAAAAAAAAGGAAAAAAAAAATAATAATATATATATATATACGTATAAAATATTGTATACTATGCTCATACATATTGTTAATCCTATATAATTGTATAATAATTTTAAATAATGTCTGTAGTGATTAATAAGAATGCTGTGTTGTTAGCAACCCAATGTAATTGGGCAGCACCATTTTATTCTATTTTATGAAAATAAAGTGATTCTCTCCTTCAAAAGCTATGCCTTCGATAATATAGTAAGTGGCCTTCATTTCGAAAAAAAATCGAAAATTGACGAAAATTCGAAAGTTGAATTTGAAATGGAAAAGGTTGAATTTGACTTGGAAAAGGTTGAATTTGAAATGGAAAAGGTTTAATTTGACTTGGAAAAGGTTGAATTTGATTTGGAAAAGGTTGAAATTGACTTGGAAATGCTATATATAGATGGCAAATTGACAGCATCAAAAGAAAAGATCCTAAGCATATGGAAGGAACACTTCCCGCAGCTGCTTAATCAAGGGCAACCCACAAAGGAAGAAGACATGGACCATACTGAGGACATCGACCCATTTGAGGTTAAAAATCCAGATATTCTGGATGTGGAAATAGCTATCGGCAGGCTTAAAAGAAGAAAGGCTCCAGGGATAGACAACCTACCATCAGAGCTGTTCAAGGATGGAGTTGAAGACCTCAGAGCCAAGCTGTTAGATCTAATCCAGAAGATATGGGAGAAGGAGCGGATTCCAGAAGCATGGAACACAGGGTTGATCTGTCCTATCCTTAAGAAGGGCTCCATGTACAAATGTGGAAATTACAGAGGTATAGGACTTCTTCCGGTTGCCTATAAAATAATGACTGATATTCTACTAAATCGGATATATCCGTGTTATCAAAACATAATAGGCGACCATCAAACAGGATTTAGGAGAGGAAGGAGTATGCTAGATCAGATATTCATCCTAAAACAAGTACTTGAAAAACGATGGGAAGTAGATCAGGACGTACACGCATTATTTGTCGACTTCAAATCAGCCTATGACTCCGTGGACAGAAACTGTCTCTGGAAGATCATGACTAAGCTGGGTGTTCCCGGGAAGTTAGTGAAGTTGACGAAGGCGTGTACTAATGATCCTAAATGTAGGGTACTAATACAAGGAGAAGTATTTGAAGCCTTTGAAGTTCAAACGGGTTTGAGGCAGGGAGATGGACTCTCGCCAATGCTGTTCAACTTAGCACTAGAGAAAGTAATAAGAACAACATCCAATGGAGAGAAGATGGAGGGGTGTACGTTAGAATGAAACACAAAATCCTAGCATATGCAGATGATATAGCTGTCCTCGAAAGTAATCAAGAGGATATTGAGAGACTCGCTCAGACTCTGTTAAAAGAAGCAGAGCAAATCGGATTACAGGTCAATGTAGATAAAACAAAATACATGATAGTTAGCAGAAACATCCACCCTAATAACATGATCTGCGTAGATTCTAAGTCCTTCCCGAAAGTAGACAGATTCAAATACCTCGGCTCCACAATAACCTCAATAAATGATCAACTAACAGAGATAGACCAGCAAATAACAAGTGCGAACAGATCTTTCTTCTCTCTTTCAAGTGTACTGAAACTCAGAAAAATCTCCTGAGATCTAAAAATAAGGGTGTACACCACCGTGATTAAGCCAGTTCTGCTGTACGGTTGTGAAACCTGGGTTCTAACCGGCACATTAGAAGCCAGAATTGAGAGATTCGAAAGAAAAGTTCTATGTCGGATAACAGGACCTATATGGGACCAGAACGTTGACACATGGAGGAGAAGGGATAATAAAGAACTGCTGAAAGAAATGGATCAGTCAATATCTCATGACATGAAGGCAAGGAGATTAAGATGGGCGGGGCATGTAGCTCGTAGCAATCCATCAGGACGCCTTTACATAACAATGAATGCCGGAGTAGTAGGAAAGAGACCACGTAGGAGGCCAAAACCCTTCAATTTGAAAGGGAAACCATTCAGTAGTTATCTGCAAAAATAAAATAATAATCTAAAATTTTTAAAACCCTTCGAGTGAATAGGGAATTGATTAAGGAATTGGCAAAAAGGACCTTGAGGCCCACTTGTTGGACTAGCTCCCCTACCAGTATATACAAGTTTAAAAAATAAAAGCTTATAACCCACATTTTGTAACATAACGCTCTGTTTCAATCCTCCACTTTCTGCCCTAATATTTTTGAAATCAACGGCTTTCCAATGACAGACAAGGCTATCTTACTTAGAACAGCATACATTTATTTCATTCCATTCAAACCTTCTCCCGCTATGAGTACTCTATTTTGGCCCAGGCTCCATGATTAAGACTTTCATTACAAGGGAGTGTTCAGCATAAATTCCACTCTTTTCTAACACCATCTAAGTTTCTGAACTGCCTGAGAGTTTTGTCCCTACTTCTGTGTAAATAACTGATGTACTTTAGGTAAGACATTCTTGGACATCTTTTACTATCATGGATATATTTCTGGAATCAGGGGATAAGACGATAATCTAAAGTCTTCCATGGTGACAACATGACCATACCACTTAAATTGGTAAGACTTTATGACCTCTTTCATTGAAGTTATTGCCTTCCTGATCCTCTCAATACAGGAGACCCTTCTTATTTTGACAGCAGTCCTTTGGAGAAACTTCATTTTTTTATCTATGAATTTTAGTTATTCTCTTGCTTTCAGCACCATTTAAGAGTAAATGTATATACACCAACTTGAAGAGCTTCAATTTTCACCAATCCTAAATATTACAGACTTAACAGAAACCTAAGTTCACTTTACTAATTAGGTGTCAACTATTATGCAATGGGCTACAACACACTACTGTGGAATGCAAAGGGCTTAGTAGATTATCATCCCAGATTTAAAACATTGACATTTAAGCCATTATTCAAAGTTTTTCAGTGAAAATTATAACTGAACCCATTTTTATAAAAAAACTAAACAACTCAGTCTAATGAAATAAATGGACTCAGTCTAAATTTGTATTTGGGTTAAGATTTACTTTTTAGAATTAGTACTCTTTTACAACAAAAATTAGTTGAAACTAAAAATATCAGCCATGTATATTTTTGTATGGACAAATAAATATAAATAATAGAGTACTAGTTTATAAGTGTCACATCTAGTTGACAGGTATGTCATGATCACATTAATCATCACACGCTGGACTACTAATGGGATTCTATGTACTATGTGATCTTCATCCACCTGTCAACTAAATATGACACTTGTAAACTAGTTCCTAAAACAGTAATATTAATATACAAGACTATAAACCCCAATCAATATTTACAAAACAGAGGAAGTTCTCAGAATGAAATTTCGTATCGTCTAAAATAAAGCAGGATGAAATAGAATAACATTCCATTATTTTTTCTATACCGACAACTGTCACTGTATGAGTTCTTAAAATATTTAAATACATACCCTAACACACTAATATATAGTAAATTAAAATAGCTGAAATATTATTAAATAAAATTATTCTCAGTAAACTATCTTTTTGGGATATTTAAAATGGTGATAGTTCAAAAGTGTCACATCTGAATGGCAGATGACTCAAGAACTCAATGAAATAGTTGATCAGTTGTAATAAAAATTATAATAGTTAAGTTGATTAGATAAAACCAAGTTTATCAATAGTCCAGAAGTTATGTGACAGCAGTTTTACTAAAATATATATTTAATATCACTAGTTCAAATAAATTATTAGGATAGAGAAATATCTATTATGTTAAAATGTGACACTTACCTGAATATTAATAAACACGAAATGAAAGCTACAACACTTAATAGGATTAAAGGTAGCATGTTCTCTATTCCACCAGAATAAAGAAACGGAAACAGCATCCTAAACACTAATCAAAAATATGAAATATCTATTCAAAAATAAAACAAAAGGGTTTTAGTACCCTAAAAATGCATAAGGTACCCATGATAAAGTGACTAAATTGACATTGAACAACTGAAAGTAAATACTGATACGATGGGTTATAAACTGAAAACCAAAGAAGTATAAGCTACAAGACCTTTGTTCTCCACCAAGAAGATTGAAGTACTGCATTTCACCTATCAGTGCCTTTATTTTTATGATGTAAACTGAAATTCTAAACCGATTGTTCTCCTTAAAATTAAAGAAATAATAAAAAAATGTTCATAAAAAACCAGAATTAAACAGACTAGATGTACGTTCGTCTCGCTATATTAATTTATAAAAGAAAGCTGGTGAGTTACAAATCAAGTTTGGTAAATATGATTTCAAATCAATTATAAATAATTTTTTGATAGATATTGTTTTTAATAGGGCACTAGGAGAGAAAATAATTCATGAAATAAGTAAGGAATCCTCTGAAATGATGACGGGATGGATTTAATTCAGTGGCTGTCAAAAGTAATTAGTCCATAGCACAGGCCAAATTTTGGCTTTGTATTCAAATTGAAATGAAATATGATTGTAAAACTTTTATGATGGAATATTCTTTTATTTAGACAGAGATTGAGCTGAAAATTATCAAATGAAAAAAAACCAAAAAAAAAAAAAAAAACACTTCATAAATAAATATAAAAGAAAAAAATACGTTTCAATAATATTAAGACATTTCTTTCTTTTTTTAATACTATTAAATTGTTTAACAATTAGCATTTTGTATTAAATTCATTTACATCAATACTACCTGTTTGAAGGTGTTTTGGCCTAGAGAAAGCAAGATGTAAAAATTCTGGCTCGATTTTAACTCAATATTTAGACAAAACTTCTGTTGAGCTTTTTTTTTTTTTTTTAATATACTTCCGAATCTCATGCATCATTAATTACTTTAATATCTGAACTTTAAGAAGAGTTCAGGAGGCTCCTGGTTGAATTATAAAACATCCACTCTTAGACCTTATGTGCTATATTCTTAGGATTGTTACCTTGTTAAACTATCTTTCAATTTTCGACCAAAAATAGTTTTCTGCTGTTTTTTTTTTTAAATTTAGATTATTACTTAAAATGTCGAAATGACCACCTGAATTTCAAAAACTGTTAATCAGAACAAGATTTCTAACTCTGTGAGGAGAGTCTTATCCACAAAACATAACACAACTGTGTCCATTTTTTACCATCGATCGAGAATTTAGTCGTTTTGATTTTTATTTGGTTTTCATCGAAACCAAACTTCCTTCTACAATTCTTTCTATCGCTTCCAAAAATACATATTTAATTATTTTAATCACTAAACAGAACATTTTGGCAAAAGTATAATGTTTTGTACAAATATTCCTTCGCAAATTCTTTTTTTTTCTATTAACTTCCATGACAAAAAGCTTCTTTCCGACTTTTCTACCATATATAACAACTTCATAACGGGCTCAGCTTACTCTTGACTGACTGACCTGTTTGTATGAAGTACCCACAACCATACCAGCGTACCTCCAAACATTAGTGGACGGATTATTTGTAACTTCTATCATGATGTCCTTGCATTATCGGGGTGTTAGACTACATCTTATGGAGTTTTTTTTTTTAAAGCTGTTTTCTATCTCACCACACCTTTTAATGATATAATGAACAGTCGAGAAATTCAGAATGAAGGATCGACCAATTTTTTGATATTTGTATCCACTGTTTCTGAGTAAAACAGATTTTTCCGGTATTGCAATAGATTTTTGGACTGGTTCTGATGCCATTATCATTCAAATACAAAATGTTAAAAAATAAATAGATTTCATAAAATACTTCTTAAAAAAAAAGTTTTGATTGTAATTAAGTATATGTTAAATTACGTATCTAAAACTAAATCAAACATTCAATCAGTGGTTATTATTTGACCTATCATAATTTTTTTTTTTGTTTTTTAATCAATGTGGTAAAGAAAACATATTTAAGCCTAAACTTGACGTAAACCAATGACTTCCTGTCCTACAGCATTCTTTAACAATTCCTCACTTATCCCTTTTGGACAAATCCGATATCTAGGACTTCATCTGGACAAACGACTCACTTGGAATCCTCATACAGGACTGGAGCGACAAGAAACTGCTCGACGTTTTCGACTACTCCAGCAATTTCTAGACAAACGCTCTAAACTTTCTATATATTAAAAAAGACTCATATACATGATTATAATAAGGTCAATTTGGACTTACGGAATTGAGCTTTGGTGTTCCACCAAACCATCGAATTCCTCTTGTATCCAATCCTTACAATCCAAATTCCTTCGTAAAATCTTCAATGACCCTTACTTTGTCAATCTTTCCGATTTAGCACAATCCAGATACCTATCCTTCCACAACAAACTTCAAAACCAGCCGAACCCTCTTCTTTCAAACCTTGCTTCAATTCGAGACCTGATAATTCTCCAAGGCGTCTGAAAAGAAGATGGCTTCGTGATCTACTTATGTAAATATATTATTAGAGTGCTACCAATGGGTAGTTTCTCGACAAGCTTTTTTATGTGATTCTATTATTACCGTGAGCACATTTACTGGATATATTTTTAATAATTAATTTTATACAGTTGTAAATCTCATGAATAAATAAAAAAAAAAAAGCCTAAATGTGAATTATTAACAAATGTCATAAAGGCATTTGCAGACGGATGGAGTAAGTCTAAAATATACACAGTATATAAGAATAGAGATCCATATCATTGCCACAACTACCGTGGAATATCTCTTTTACCTAGCGGGTACAAGGTTCTACCAAATATTTTGTTTAAGTGCTCACTCCGAGAGAGAAATAGGCCCTATCATTCTGGATTCCGCAGTTAATTCTACAAATGACTAAATATTCAGCCTTAGGGTAATACTAGAAAAGGATCTTCCAAGATTTCAAAGAAGCCTATGATAGCATCCATTGGGGAGCTTTCTATTGTGCAGTTCTATTTCTTTCAAATAATGAGAGGTGTCCATCAAAGAGATGCTCTATCATTTCTGCTATTCAACATAGCAATGGAAAATGCAGTTAGGGATTCGGGTGTCCAGACCACGGTTACAATGAGCAACTGGTCGGCACGACTGCTGGCCTTCACAAATGACATAGTCAACGTTTGATGGTCGCAGCTGTTTTCAGCTTTGTTGGAAGGCATATTATATTCTATAAGAAAACGTAAGAAGACTTGTCTGAAGATTATCCTGGAAAAAACAAAGTAAATAGTATCCGGACCGGGAAGAAAGTGCAGAATAGCATATATATATAAAGGACCTGAATTCACTAACTAGGATTAATCGTGATAATGAAATTGCGATAGAGGGTAGAAGAATAAAATATTTATAAATTCAAACCACTTTGGGCTGGGAAACCATTTTTCAAACAGGTTTATTAAAAAATAATATGTTCATTCACTCATGTACTGATTGATTATAGACCAATCAATTTGTCAAAGACAATATCAAGTTTAAACATCAAGATCATAGCAAAAAATACCAGATAAAGGAATTGCATATCGTCAGTCAAGTCTCGAGTTACTTCATAGAAAATTCATTATGATTTACCAAGCGTTCTTATCTTGTTATATGAGGCAATATTTCTAATCCTTCTAAGCTAGCGGTTTGTCAACTCTACAGAACTTTTTCTCGTTTCAAGAAAGGTTAATCATCTCAGTCCATTCTTATGTCCATTCATGTCGTAATTATTTTTAGTTGATGTGGTATCATGTACAAATAAATTTGTTTGCTATAGCTTTAAAACCCCGAGGTCATCAATCCAGAGTAGAGTAACGATACGATCTTGTTATGTTAGCATTGGCATACTATCGACGTGAAGTCTGTATCCTTACAAATAAGAGATTGCAGATCAACTCCGCAAGTCATTAAAAAAGTTAGATGTATTTTTTCTGATTGAGAAATTGTGGTGAAAGAAAAACGAATATCTTACCCTTAGTAAGATTTTTATTAGCTTAAAAACATCAACAGAATTTACAGAAGGCAATAAGGTTATAAGTCAGGTTAACAAAGTAGTTCAAGCTTCCCCCCCAAGAGTGGGATTAAGTCACCACATTCACCCTGGATTTTTGAGACAACATCTGGTAAGATTTAAAGTACAATATTAGAGACAAAAGAGAAATTTGAAACTTTATTCATGATTTGCAACATCAGAGTTTTTAATTAGTTATATAGTTTTAAGGTAAGGAGGAGCTTTGGTCACACGTGCAGGTTTTGAACATATAGGGAATCCAATTTCATTAGAGAGAGGGCCGTGGACAGATGGAGCGGCAGAGTGTTCTTCTGGATGTAACATGTGAGAGGGCTCCAATATTGCAGCGGGTTCATCATTGTTAGAGAAAGGCTGCTCCGACACTTCAGGAATTCTTCTAGGTGCCAATTATCTCAGAGACACGCTTGACTCTTCCATCCTTCCTGCGAATTTGGGCGTACTGTGGGTTAGCCTCGAGTAATTCCACTTCTTCAACAGGGTCTTCGTATTTATTGAGTCACACACACGTTACTTTCGGCAAGCACAGGACAAGGGGTTAACCAAGACGGCAAGGTGACTCCATTGGCTGTGTGGCGAGGGTGACTGAAAAAGCGTTCGTGAGGAGTGGGGTTAGTCGCTGTGCAAAATAGAGAACGTATAGCGTGGAGGGATTCCTGTAGGATCCTATCGTAGTCCTTCGTCCGCAGTCCTCGAACTTCAAAGACAAATGGTTCTCCATAGAGTACCATTGAGGCGTTCAATTTGTCCGTTCCCTGCTGGGTTATACGGGGTTGTTCTGCTGGTGGCTACACCATTTGAATGGAGTCCTTGAAGTCCTTGACTTCCCTAGACAATAAGGAAGCTCCCCGATCAGTGTGGACATAGACTGGCATTCCAAACAAACAGAAGAGGTTTTTGAGACACTAAACCACAGTAGCGGCAGAAAAATCGTGACAGGCATATGAACAAGGAAAATGAGAATACTCGTCAGTGATGTTGAGGAGATAGAAGTTCCGTGATTCAGAAGGGTGAGGCCCTTTAAAATCTATATTGATGCGTTCGAATGAAGAGGTGGTTTACTAGGGTTCCAGAA